GCTACTGTCCCCGTAGCCCAACTTCGGAATAAGCGGAAGATAATGGATGAATGGGCATTACCTCCGATCTGAGAGGTAATTAAAGAACCAAACGATAGTGTGAACTGAGAAACCAATGTCTGAGAGCTTATGACATAAGATGTCATGGTCTAATATCAAAGGCTTTAAACAGGTCTAAATAAAGTGCAGCACAGTAGTCCTTAGCGTCCAATGTTTCAACATCATTAAAAACCTTCAATGAAACAGCTGAAGAATTGGATGTAGCATAAAGAGGAGGAACGAGGCTATTTTGGCTGTGTATGGTTCTTCCACATGTTACAGAGGCCCATTTATTAAAAGAATAAACTGTTAAATTGTCAACATGTCTGGTTTCTTCACACTTCCATCGTTCAGTCCAAGAAACATTAAACAAGACTCAACTAACAAATGTAACCATTTAAAGGTAAACAATCCCGGCTTTCCAACGTTATGAAAATTTTTCTAAGAAACATTACAAATAAACAATTCACTAAACAAAATTTTATTAATCTTTGGTGCTATTTACTAAAAACATTTTGAAATTAGCCCCTATGTTACATATAAAATACGGGTTTTATTTATTTATTGCATGTATCATATGTGAGCTTATTTGATTTAAATGTATTAATTCAGCTATTAATGATGTCTAAACAATTACTTGTGCTAAGAACAACAAAGAGTTGCCTTCCCCTTTTCTTATTGATAAAGCTTGAGTTACTGCCATCATGATGGGTTTTTTTTCTGCTAAAATGAACAAAAAGGTACAAAATCAAGGTAAAAATCTTTTTTCTTTTAACATTTTACCTAAATTACTATTCTTAAAGCAGAGTTAAATGTAAAAATGAAACAAAACCGTTGATGACAACGGATTGACGGTGTAAGGCAACTCTACTGCATTAATTAATCTGAGCCTGAATTAATCTCTGTTCCCCCAAACTGAGGTGTTTTAAACAGCTACGTACATCAGGTAAGAAGGTGATCCTTCACAGAACCCCACTTTAAAAGATCTGAGCTATCCATTCAAGTGTCATGGTTTCTATAATCAGGCTTAATGCATTATTATCCTCCGAGATCCAAAAATAAAATCTGATCTGTCCAGGGTTTGTTGTGTAATCTCCCCCACTGCAGTCGTTCTTTTTTTCAATTCTAGGATTTATTCACTGAGCTGCTGCAGCCATTTACCAATAATACCTCAATGTTGATGCTGTTTATACCCATGACCCTACAATCCAGCCAGACTTCCATAATCCCACTTTCCTCTTTACCTCCTATTTCTTCTCTCCCCCTGGTTTGCCAGTGTCTCGCTCCTGGATGGCTGGGGGTATGGCTTCAGCTTCTTCCTTAAGTTGTGTTTTTTTTTGTTCTTGACTGCTGTGACGCATCCTGACTGTGGCATGTATCGACGCTGCGCATGCAATCTCTCATCCTCAGCTGTCTGCTTGCCCGTCCTTGACTCTCAATCACGGCGGTGTTCTTGGTGAAAAACAGGAGGGGAAACAGTGCAAACCTTCCATTGCTGGCTCACGCCACTGAATCAGCAAGTCTCTTCTTTTTCACGTTTTATCACCCTCATCGGGCCACATGTCAGTGTGTGAGTGGTGGTGTCGCAGTGTTGCACAGTTGAATGCTTTCACTAGAGGCCAGGGAGTTTGTCTACAAGTCTGTTTGTGCTGTGCAGAACATTACAAAGTGTTATGAGGGACCGTTTTCTCAATGTAGAGCATTTTAGCTTCATCGGGTAGTGATAGTTCAGCTAACTGGATTATATTCATGTTGTCTACGTTACAGTTGTAACAAAATGTTTACGTCTACTCTTCACGGGCTTCATTCGTTTTGAGTCATAAATTATGTGTAGCATGGTTTCACGGTGCTAAAAGAAAAATTTCTAAATGTTTGTTTGCATTTATTTAAAAACAGAAAAGCAAATGTACTAGAGAAATTGCATTTCCTGCAAAAATCCAGTGTGAACGCTTATAGCAGAAGAACTTGCTGAAAAACAGCTGAAATCGGCTAATAAAACATGCTGAAATGGAAGAACAAACCTAAATTAGTAGAAGAAAGTAGAAAGAACACATTTGCTGAATTAGGTTTAAATAAGCAGAAATTAGCACAAAAATAGGTAATTAGTTAAAAAAAATAAGCTGAAATTAGCAATACATAGCTGAAAAGTAACTGAAAAGGCAGACAGAAGCTTAAGCTACCAGAAGGAAGTGGAAACAGCTGAAATGTGTTAAAAAATGTGGAATTAGCTAAAAAAGCTAATATTAGCATAAAAACTGTTAAATAGTGACTGAAATAGCAAAAAAAAACAAACTTAAAATAGCAGAAAAAGGCTGAGAGGAGCATAACAAGCTGACATTAGCATAAAGAACTTAACTAGCCTAAAAGTAGCAGAAATTACCATGAAAAACATTAATGTATCTGTAAACAGCTAAAATTAGCTACAAACATTCTAAAAAGGTAGCTGAAAAGGTAGAACAAGCTTAAATTAGCAGAGAAAGCAAGAGAACACATATTTGCTGAATTGGTAGGTGAAAAAGCTGGAATTAGCAAAAAAAAAAAAAAAGCTAAAAAGGCAGAAAAAAGCTTAAAATACCAAAAGGAAGTGGAACAAGTTAAAATGAGCTAAAAATGTGGTATTATATTTAAAAAAAAAGGCTGAATAACTGGATTTTTTTGCCCAGAAAAATGTACAACCAACCAATGTTATCTTTTTTAAAACAAGCATAAAAGTTTAGAGAAATTCACCACGTGGCTACTTAACAAAATTTAATGACAGCTTAGAGCAGCAGGTCCAAGAATGTAAGGGAGAAAATACATAAAACGCCCTATCTCTGTTTTCTGCTTTAAGGCATTTAAACCATAGGAATGGTACAACAGAAATGTATTAATTTTGACACAACTTTTAACACTATGTTAGACGATAAAACCAGTGTTCAGCCAACACCTGCTTCCCACTGATGTTTAGTTCAATGGTTCCCAACACTGGTCCTTGTGGAACACCATCCTGCATGTTCTAGTTGTTTCCCTGCTTTGACACATTTGATTTAAATGAATGGGTGATTAACAGGCTTCTGCAGAACATGAGGAAGTAATTAAATTACTGAATCAGGTGTGTTGGAGCAAGAAAACAACTAAAACATACAGTATGGTGTCCCTCAAGGACCTTTGTTGGGAACTACTGTTTTAGTTAAATGTCTCTTAGCAAGTTGGACCTTGACCAGATGCTTGTCATATCCATCAATAAGCTTCTGGCATAATTCTGGCTGGGTAATTGACCTCTGTCCAAGTATCACTGACCACACATTTAGATTAGTTGAATTTAGGCGCAGTGTACAAATGTTTAACACGGTTGAGTTTGGGGCTTCGGGAAGCCCATTGAGACGGTACCTTACTGGGCTGTGACAGCATTTGAAAAAAGTTTCTAAAATCTCTCAATGTTTTGGGAGATTCTTAATGCCCTCTCATAAGTCTTGGTACTTTTTTTTTTTTTTTCAAATTTGAAATTTGAACATGAACAAAATGATTCGGGTCTTAATCTGGCCTTGAACGTTTCTTTTAGTTTTTTGGGGGTTTTTTATGTATTGTGCTTTAGTTCTATTTATTTGTGAAGTGAATAATTAGAACACCCAAGCACATTTATGATTTTCTGGTATGTCCATCATCCTGTTCTGCCGGGGCACAGCTCCCAGATTTCCCAGGTATCACACAAAACTACGCATTCCATTGTTTCCCCTAGATCAGTTCCTTTGGCGGGGCACTCTTCATAGAGGGTGAAGGAGGACGAGACAGAGTCACGTCTGTGTTGCCCGCCTGCTAGCTTAGTGCTACGTTGCTGTCGGTTTTTATCGATAATGGGAGGGGGGTCAGGACGGTGTCACATCTGTATTGCTCGCCCACTAGCTTACCGGTGCATTGGTGCCAGTTTTTATACGGGGTCAGGGGGATTGGGGGGGGGGGCATGCAAAGCGGTACATCAGTAGCATTTTTGCTAGTGCATTTGTATTGTGCGACAGTTGTCGATGGGGGTGGGGGAAGGTCGGAAGGTAAGGCGCTCGGTTCTGTTGATGGGGCGAGGCAGCCCACTTGTATAATGGTAGGGGAGACGCTGCATTCTCAGGAAGTGCACATATCGGGCAACTGTCACCGATTTTGCGAATTTGCAATTTTGTTGCGCGACTGTCGTCAACTCAACACTTGTGCAATATTTATGCGATCTCCCATTCTTTGCATGAAAATTCTGTGAAATTTAAATTAAAAAATGGCATACTTGCGATTTTCAGTGTCCATCTGCTCTCTTAACAGATGCAGCCCAGTGAAGTACCGTCTTTCCACAAGCTTGAGCTAGCCTGACTTATCCAACCAGAAATTAGTTTAGGATCATTGACCTGTTGAAACTCCCAACAGAGGCCAAGATTCAACTTTCCAGCTGTTGATTTGAATTGAGACAAAGGAATTAGAAGGAAGTCCTCATTCCTTATTGATTCAATACGTGCAATTCACCAGTACTAGAGCATGATGCTACCACCACCATGTTTGACTGTATGTACAGTGGGTGTATTTATGTGTATTTAGGTTTAAAAGCTATGTCTGGTGTGACAGCACTTCTCCAGAAGGCAGTTGTTTGTGTGTTGGTTCCAAAAAAATCTCTGAAAGACTCAAATGATGACATTTGTACCTGTGATTGGTGGACGTAGATTTCTGTATTTAAACAACTGTATTTTTATTGAGAATTTTTCAAAAATAGTCCTGCTCGTTCTAAATGGATCAGTTTTGTATTTCAGTGTCTGTTGTGTAACCAATGTTGTGGTGTTGTGGTTGAACTCACTCCAACAGAAAGGGCTACTCCATTCTCACCACCCATACCACACAAATCCAAACTAAACACCGAATTGTCCTCTGATGTGTACAGCTCACAGTCCCTGAATGGGATGAGTCAGCTGTTACTGATGGGGTTCCCGCTCTATCAACTTCTTTTTCAGGGCCTCTCAGCCACATCAAATCCAGCCTACTCGGCTCCACCTCCGACTCGAACCTCAACAAGTATAGCACCATTAACAAGATTCCCCTCATCACGCTCAACTTCTCTGAAAGCAACAACGAGAAGAAGTGCCCCTCCTCTCCATCCTCAGAGAAAACCATCATCGCCCCCAAAGTTAAAGACCGAACACATAACGTCACCGACAAGGTTACACAGGTAAGGCTTCAACAATCAGTCAGACTGCAGTGATTTATTCTTTGTTTTCAGGGAAATAAAGTACTTTTAAGACATGAAGTTACTGTAATCAGTAATTAGTTTGTGGCACAAATGTACCAGAAACATTTGGCCTCTAAACAACTGGTCCAGTTTTCAGTATTTCGGTAGGGCACTCAGTTCTGTTGACCGGGGGAGGCACCCTGCTTGTTTAATGGTAGGAGAAACACTGGTGTTGTTCTTTGATGCAGTTTACAAGTTGCTTTCAGCTTTTGACTATTTCAGCTCGCATTATAAGTTTGATGGGGTCAGGATCAGGATAAAGTAAGGCAGGATTAAAAAATGACAATAAAACAGCTCTATTGTTGTTGTGGTTTCTAGGACACAAAATGATAGTGGGCAAGAAAGAAACAAATGGCTATTTCCTTGTTTTTCAAAATATGCTTATTTTGTGTTGTAGTGTTTCTCATCAAAAACTGTGTGAACGGGAGTTGCAATTTCAAAAGAAAGTCTGTTTTTAAAAATGTCTAGATTAGTGTGGACAGGATCTAGATTTAGAAATGCCTCGTTTTGCTGTGTTTTTTGTTGTGTGTGAGCTGTTGTGGACATGACGATATAGAGGCCTAACTTGCTCCTATCTGTTTTCACTTTGTGCTTTAAAAACCAAAACTAAAGATTTTTTATACCATTTTTACTGTTTTACCTCTGTCTCACTTTAACCCGAATAAGTTGTCATTTTATCATGTGCTGAAATAATTTATAACTGGGAGTAAAAGTACTGTATATGGACAAAGAAAAATCTCCTTATTTTGGGAGAAAAGCCAAGTGAAGAATGCTCTTTCTCTATATTTTTATGTTGTCCATGTGGACGTTCTCGCCACCTAGTGGCACAGCATGGGTATTTCAGCGTTTTTGTTTAAATACCTTTTATCATCTGAAATAAACCTTTTTAATTAACTAAAATCATATTTAAATCTGAAGTATGGAAGATGGGACCTTGAAACTTTTTTAAGATTAAAGACAAAACCAATATGGAAATCCTTCAAAATACAAACTTTGTAGACTTTTTTCATTTCAACAGTTATAGCTGCAAATGTTTTCATAACAAAAATAAAAATAGTAGCATAAAGTGGTTTAATGAGCATTAAAAATGTCTGGAATGGCTCTTTAACATATTTGACTTTTGGTATACATTGACAGCAATTACTGTAAATGCCACCAACCCTGTGTGTAAATTTCTTTAAACAAAAATTAAAAAAAGGGCATAAATAAGAAAAACCTCTTCCTGGGCACCTTTATTTTTAACAAGGCAGAATGAGAAAAGAGTGAAATAAAATTTAACTGTAGTGTTTATTAAGGATTATCACAATTCAAACTGCACTTCAGGATGATTAACAGAAACCTACGGGGTCAGGATGTAAAAACTCTTCCTCTCACGGTGAATGAAGACAAGTTGTCCTCCAGCAAATGGACCACATTCAGAGCTCTAAGCAGATTTCTAGAGTTACAGTCAAGGGTAGAGTTTGTTGCCTTCATCCCCGCCAGGGCTGAGATGAAACATCGAGTAGTCAGGGGATATAACGTGATACATTTCCAGGCATAGGTCATAGCTTCCTTTAAAGCACAGATTAGGTCTCAGTTTTGCATTTTGCCCCTTAACAGTGTAACCGATAGAGGACACAGAATTGACCCCCAACTGAACTCAGCTTGTGCCGAGGGCCTTAGAGGCAGAGCGAGCATACTACAGTGACCTCTCAGTACAGTAATAAGGTCAAAATATTTAGCAGCAAACAGCTGGGATTAACCATAGAACCAGAAACTGAGACGCCGATTGAATCCTAATATGTTTTGGGAGAACATCTTCTTTAACAGCCCTGATCTTAAATCCTTTCCACGCACATTCTCTACTTCTACTTTTCTCTTCTCTGTAGGGTCCTTTGCTGTTCATTATCAGTCTCCAGTATCCTTGTTGTTTGCTATTTCACAACTAAAACTTAGCTGAAAAGTAAGAATAGTTTAGGTTTGGTTAATGTTTTTCTGTTGTTTCAATACTTCTTGGCAAAAAATCGCATACGTTGCCAAAACCTGTTTGTTTCCCCACAAATGGTGTCACATTTGTTAGGAAAATACCTTTTTGCTCAATATTGGTCAGACATTTTTAAGTTTGTAAGGTTGATTTTTTTCATTCATTCAACCTTTATTTAAACAGATGAATCACACGGAGCCTCGAAGATTCATTCATTCAAGGATGACGTCTGACAGAGTCCAAAGATTCTGGGCCTCTCTGATTGGTCCATGGACTTCCTCAGTGGTTGGGGGGAGGGGCAGAGCATCGATGGTTTACAAAACTTCCAGTCAAATTAAGATAAGATGGCTGGTCAAGGCCAGTCAGGGAGCCGAATTCAGATAAACACGATTGTTTTGGGGACAGGCAGAACTTTAATGACATCTACCTTGAGTCTGTGTTGGTCCACTCTGTTCTGAAACATCCAAATTAAATGGCCACACCAATGGACCGTACCTGAGAGTAATCCTTGAGAACTGATCCATCCTTCCAAAAGCATTTGAGTCTGGGTGCTCAAGACACGAACCAAGCCATCACATAAGACAGGCAGCCTGAGCAGGGCCAAATTTGTTGCCGACAACTTCCTTGTTCGTTGATAGACCAGGGACCAGCCTAATCCAAAAAGCAGGAAACCAGTTAACATAAATCCAATTATATATGCGTCCTTAACATCCACGATTGACTGCAGAATTAGACACATTATCAAGTCTTCCAAATCTGTGAGATATCCAGCTGCGTGCGTGCCAACAGGGCAAATCGGCTCACCTACAGCCCATCTTCTCTTCGAAGAAATCTTATCAATTGCATTGAGGGACCAACTGACCAAATCTATAAATTATGATTCCAAAGATTTGTAGAAGAGACGCTCTAAAGTAGCTTCACAAACAGGACAGAGCAAACCAAAGCGGAAAGGGAGAGGAGGGAGGAAAATGTGTCCGCCCTTGACAAGAGCAAGTGTTGAAGTGATTAGCTGTGGCAGCCATCTCGAATTGGGTTGACTGAACCTACAAAGTTCAATTGAAGGCCAGTGGATTTCCCTTTTGAAGATGTTTTTTCTCATCAGTTCACATCAGTTCTTGTTTAAGCAATTAAATTAAAAAGGAAGTTCTGTTGCCTTTGATTGAACTTACTGGGATTTCTGTTCCCTGGAATACTGAGAACATTTGTTGTAGAAAAATAAGACTCACTGATAAGACACTGACGGGCTGTCTGAGAAGTCCACCGTAGGTGTAGTGAACTAAGCCTCCGGTCAAGACCTGCCTCTGAAGACCTTCATGGGACAGGAACTGTTGTTTCATTGATTTGAATCCAGAAATACAAATTAGCTCATCCAGAGACTTTCTAATTGTATCCTGAACTAATCAATTGAAAGAACACTCGCTTTTTTATATTATCATTACTATTTTACAATGTCTTGATAATCAAAAGTGTGTTTAGTTCAAACCATTTTTAAATGTTGAAGTGAACCGCTCATTTTAAATCAACTGTGAAACAGTATTAATGATTTTTAATCCTCATTCAAAGTAGAAATCAAGTTAAATGTCTATGTTACAAAGTAATTATGCATTTTTGATCTTCTGTCTGAAATGAGAAAGGTGTGATGTCGGTCAAAAGTCGGAGACAGTCGCAAACAAGTTTATTGGAACGAACTGTCATGTTTTTAAACCTCTCAGACAGAAACAAGAAAACTGGCACCTGTAAGTCTGTCATTTCTCCAAAACATTTCTCTGTCTGTTCCTAAACATCTCCGCTGTTTTTCTGACTTGTAATGACCCTCTGACGTCACTAAAACCACACCCCTGTTGGTTCTTTCAACCAATCAGGACTTCCCAAAAGTGACCGGAAGCAGAACTCTTTAAAAGTCGACACTTCCTAGTTCCAGGGAGAACAGAAGTTCCGAGAGTTCTGCTGAGAAGGAAGACGAGTGTGACTGTGAAGTCCACGGTGGTCTTTTTCTGAAAGATGACACCTGTCTGGAGTGTTGGTTCAGGTCATCACGCCAAAGACCTATTCAACATCTCAGGAGTTCAGCACGTTTGCTGAAATTCCACTTAACTTAATCCTATCCTTCGGGGGAGTTTATTTTGGAAGTTGGGCCAGTCAGCCTCGTGGTCCCAAGTTGATGAGAAGCGGATATAAATCCCTGGAGATAAAAAGACTCAGCCTTGCTGGACGTCAGGAGAAGGCCTCTCTGAAACCCCACCAAGGTAAAGAGTCGGCGCTCGGGTACCATCTAGCTGAAATCACCGGGAAACGTGCTATCTGGTTTCAAACAAGATAACTCCCCATCTTTTCTTTATTATCTTAGTTAACCCTAAGTATCCACTTTTCCTTCTTAAAGTTTACTCCATCTCTATATTTCCCTGCCAGTAAAGATAAGCTAAAAGCCTGCAGACATTAATTTAAGATCTAAGGATATGTCTGTTGTTTCAAGCTGCAAGTGAGGAATCATGGCCGTATGATTTCTCATTGTAAAGCTCATTAATTAAGCTGTGTTATTGTAATCAATTATGCCAATCAATGTGTAAAATGTGTGATGTGTTTAAATCGTTTTGATAAATAAAAGACCGCACTGTTGTTGGTGGGTCAGAAATTTAAACACGTCTTTGTCCACATTTAATCTTCTAGGCACGATATTACTTACTCCAGAAAAATGAAAGAATCCGTTTAAATTAAGTATAATATTATGTACTTGAATTAGTCCAGATATTATAAAATGTAAGAGAGCACCCCTGAGCTAAATCCATCTCTCGGCGTCTCTCATTACACAGAATTGTCCTGTATGATTAATATCTGTTCACAGTTCAGCGTTATGTCATGATGTCCTATAGTACAACCTTCCAGTTATGATGAAACTGTTGGTATTACGTCTTCCTGATAGGTTTAGTTCATATCAGCTCTCTGACAATCTGAGGTCAGACAGATTTTACCCCCTGGA